ATGTCTTATATCAGGGTAGGAAGTCTACCTTATTTTTTGATCATTATTGAGGCCTTCATAACTCCCTTCAAATAAAAAATTTGGAACACCATCAAGAGTTGTTCCTACCTCTAATAAAATCACCAAACATTGATAGTGTCTTCTAAGGTTGTGATATCAAATAAATTTTATCTTACCATCTATTCAAAGAAGGACATGTGATTTTTTAAGTTCTTCATTCCAAGTATATTGTCTTGAAGGTTGTAAAAATTGCAATATCTCATACAATAAGTCAATAAGTGATAGGTCTTGAATTGAATCTAATGATTATTGGTGTTTCATCTCTTTAGCATTATAAATACACAAAATTTACAAACAGAAATAAAAAGTAGAATGTCATTATTCTTGAATCTTATTTTTTTTATAGAAAAGATTTGATATTCTTCATCTTGCTTTTGATGGATATTGTCAATACAAAAACTTCTACTTTCTTTGTTGTATTTGCAAGATTCTTTATTGGCTTTTATGTGCATTCACTAATATTATATCCATGCAAATGAATAAGATATTCTAATCTATTTTGGCTGTGCTTTGAATCTAAGACTTCTTCCACCTCAAATTCTTATTATTATTCACTTTTATAGGAAGAAGTGGTATTTTTCTTCTTCTTAAAATATTCACTATCTTATATGGCTCAAGAAGAGATACATGAAATATAGGATGAATCTTCATAGACTGTAGTAGATATAATCAATAAGCAATAGGATTGACTTATGTACAGATAAGAAAAAGTTCAAGCCTATGATAGTTCGACTTTTCATAAGGATGAGTAGTCTTGATATTGCAACAAAGTAGCCATACTTTGTCACCTACAATGAATTATGATTGTTTCTTATGATAAGCATCGGTATTAATCTTTTGTCATTCTTGAGTTTTTTTTAACTGTATCTTAATTGTTGCATATAGCTATGTCAAATAATTTATCAAATCTTTTGCTACATGATTATCAACTTTTGAAAAGTAAAAAATATCAAGTTATAGATAATAATCATAATTGATGAAGGTGTTTGTTGAGTAAAAGAATATACCAAATTATTGTACACAATTTCTACCAATGGCAAAAGAGTTATCTAATCATCTTAATGATAGATGATGGTACATCTCAAATACTTCTCCAAAACTTGATTCATCTATTTTTTTTATCTATAAATTTGAGGATAAAAAGCCAAAGAGAGTTTTATATCTATCTTTAGAATTTTAAAAAAGATTTTATAAAAACTTGATACAAATTAAGTCCTCCTATCTAATATAATATCTTTGAATAATCCACGATAACAATAGATGTTGTCAAAAAAAAGCTTAACTGTTTCTTCACTTATGATATATTTTGTATATGGTACAAAATGTAACATCTTGGTAAAACTATCTACTATCACAAATATAAAATCATACAAACTTTAGACTAAAATTTCTATGATAAAATCTATAGAAACAGAAGACAATGATTACTTCAAAATAGGTAATGGCTAAAAAATTCTATAAGGTCGATAACAAGGAGTTTTTGATCTTGAACAAATATCACATGATTGTATAAAGTCTTTAACTACCTTTTATATTTGAGGCCACCAAAAATCTCTTGATATTAATTCTAAAGGCTTATTATATCTAAAATATTTGGATGCTAAAAAAACATGATAAACCTAAAGAATACGTAATTATACTTTACTTTTTGGAATATGAAATTTTCCCTCAAAGTAGAATAGATTATTCTTGAATACAAACTTAGAAGTATTATGAGATTTAGAAGAATTATTTTTGACATTATAAATAAGAAGATTAAAGGACATACTTGATTGAATTTATTTAATAAAAATTAAATCAATAGTTAATATTGATTTTATTGCTCAAAGGTGAAAATGCTCTAGATTTAAGAAGATCATTCTTTGTTAATCAAAAGGTGCATCTCCTTCTTTTGGTATAAGATACAAACATCTAAAAAAGATATCTCATAATCTTGTTGTTTTTAAATTGATAAGTAATCTTGAAATCAAATCTTCATAAAGACATGCTTCAATAAGCTTGGCAATGATTCAAAATACATGCTAACATAAAATACTTGAGTTTCTTGTGATTCATATATATGATGATTGGATGAGAAGTGCTTTCTAGATAATGATGCCATTCTTGAAATGAATCCATGATTGCAAGAAACTCTTTGTTATAGATCTCATAGTTAATCTCAGTTGCTAAAAATTTCTTGGAATGAAAAGCTATCAAGTAGAGCTTGTCATCTACTCCCATTTGTGACAGAATAGTACTCATAGCAAAGTCTAATGCATCTATTTCTATGAAAAATGGCTTTAAAAAGTTGAGATGATACAAGATTGGTATAATAATAATTGCTATCTTTAAGGCTTCAAAAAATGCTTTAGCTTCTTTGCTCCACTAAAGTTTGTCTTTACTTGTCAAATGTGTAAAAAGGATTGCAACTTGAGAAAAGTTTTTGATGAAGTTTTAATAATAATTGACAAATTTCAAAAAACATTAAACATCTTTGATTGTTTTTGAAATATTTTAATGTATGATAGTTTGGATCTTCTTAGAATCCATCATAAGACTATTGTTTGAAATGATGTATGATGAAAAGTCAACTTGAGTAGTATAAAATATATATTTTTTCATCTAAATGTTGTTGTATTATATATATTCTTGCTTGAGATTGTACCAAATACCTAACTATAGAAGGTAAGTAACAATGCAACAACAATTCTATCAAGTCTAATAGAGTCTTAAATAAACTTCAAATAATCCCTAATAATCCAATTAAACTATACTTTATTGAAATAAAATTTAAAAAAAAAAAAACATAAAAGAAATATACAAAATCCTAAAGAAATATTAAAAATAAAATTATAATACAATTCTAATTTAAACTCTAATTGAATCTTAATCAAATCCTAATAAAATCCTAATGAAATCCTAAACTATAGACAAATCCTAGCCAAATTTTAAACCAAATCCTAAGCAAATCCTAGACCAAATTCTAAACTAAATCCTAATTAAATCCTAGATATTAAATAAACTCTTAATAAATCATATAGAAAAATGGAACTTCAACAACTAATGATCAAACCATTGATATCAACTTAAGATTTGCATACTTCTTAAAACTTTAGTTAGAAACAAGTTGATGAAAGATGAAATCAATTGCACTTACCAATTGAAAGAAATACAAGATAATTTAATTAGGTGTTGGATAGCTTCCTATTCCAACCTTAATGTTAAACTTCTAGCGCCAATATCTCTTTTTGGAACTATTGAATTGCTTTCAAATTTCACATAAATTTTGAAAATTAAATTTAGTATCTATATAAAAAAAAATTACACTTTAATCCAAGTAATAAGTTCCTAAAGATCTTAGAAACACTCATTAACTCTCAAACTTCAATTTCTAAGACTTCAATCCACAAAAACCCTTCATATGATTTAATCTACTTATTTTATTGATCTCAAAATTTGCATATACATTTGTAACTAGCACACCAACATAGTGCCAAAATTTCACTTGTATATACACCACAAAACTTAAGAAATCTTCAAATTTGTAAACATATTTTTGTTATTCAAATTCTAATGCCACCAAGAACATCACTAATTTTAACAATCTCTCAAAATCTCAATATTGATTCAAACAACATGAAACATATTCCTAAAAATCTATTCTCAAGTTTGTTCTCAAATTCCATTCATTGATCTACCAAAGAACCTCGGAGTTACCATAGGTGCATGGTTTTGTGCCTTGGGATCTATTTTGACTAAGATTGATAACATGTTATCTTTGGATATTGTGAGCTAAAATAAACCTCTACTAATTGGAAGTTTATTCTAAATCACAATAAGTTAATCAATTTTAAAATTTAAATTCTTATTTAAATCTTAATCAATTAATACTTAAAACTCATAATTCATCTAAGTAGTTAAGTATAATTTCTATTACCAATCCACAATTACAATAACAAATTACTTACAAAAATGCATATCCAAAGAAATTCCTTCTACTAATTCTTAATATGATTTTTTTTTATTATTTTATTTTATTTGTATTTTATTTAATTAAAATTCATAATAAATTAAAATTAAAATTAAAAAATTAAAAAATTAAAAATTATTCATGAATAACTTTTCATCTATGAATAATTTGTCATTCATCCATGTTTAAATTCTATCCATGTTCAAATAATTCATCCTTTATTTAATTTTTGATTTAAGAAATAAATAACCATCCATTTTTAACTTAGTTCTAATCTAATTTATTATATAAGTATATATATTTTTCCAAATATATACGTCCAATAACAATTTTTTTTCCTTATAAAATTGTAGATCTTTTATAAATGACTTGAATTGATCACAGGATGATGGTAGTCAAGAAGATCCTTGACTGCTCCTGGACTAGCAATTCTCGACCCTCATCCTGGAGGTGCGAGCTCTCTTGACGGAATAGAGCAATTGAGCTGTTGATCCTTGAATCAAGCGCCTTCCTGACTATTAATGTTTCTCCTTTGTAACCTAGTGTAATTGGTTGGAGATGAATCACACCCCACACCAAGCACCAACAGCGACGATGTCATTGTTGCCTCCACTGGTGATGCAATAGCAACGGAATAGGAACACAAATACAGACCAGCAAAAAAACCACTCGACAACACCCTTCTGGGTCTACTTTTGCAGACTTTGAGAGAATCACTGCCAACTAAAATTTTGAACTATTGAGGACTAGGAAGTAGTTCCTTGACCGCCGCACGCAATCAAGCAGAGCCGCAACACTAGTATTAGCAGAACCCTTCTGCCCAACATCTTAGAATTATTGAAAAACTACCACCGCCAACCACAAGCTCGCCACCGCAGCCGCAAGAAGAACTGAATGTAGAAAATTGAACTTCCACGCCAAGATACCAAAAGCAGTGCAAATAACAAAAAAGTGACGTCTCTTCAAATCAAGCAATGTTTAGCACCCTTCAACCGAGAATCGCTTCCGTTGTTACAAAAAACACGCAAAAATAGACAAGAACAGCACAAAATTGATCAGCACCGCTGAATCGTAATCAACAAATGGGAGGAAGAATCCAAGCTGTCTAGATGCTCAGTGATGCTGTGCTATGGCAGACAGTCAACAACAACAACCTTCTAGATCTTCCCAATTTTTGGAGCTCCTCGTCGTACATTGTTGTTGCTACTGCATTGTCTTACTTATCCCAGTTGTTGACAATAACTCCAACAACAACTGCTCAAGCAAGCTCAAGGAAGACTTCCTAGAAAATAAAGAACTGTGCTAGGTGACTCTCCGCACACCATGCAAGAGCACCCTCTTTCCAGTCCACTGCTGCACCATAGCAAACAACACCGCTTTCGCAAGAGAGCGTTGCATCACAGCACCTCATTTAGGAGCAGGAAGACACTGATTCAGAGCGCCTAGAGTTCATGAAAATCAGATTTGACGCTCCTACTACAGAGCCGTCAACGAGAAAAAAAACACCACTGGCAGTCCACTGCTAGCACACCGCTGCAATAGCAGCTACTCCATCTTCGTAGCTTCTTCCAAATACACAAACCACCAAAAAAAAAATTAAAAAAAATTAAAAAAAATGTACTTGAACATGGAACGGAAGAAGGTTCCACTTCTAGCTGCCCTTGTCGAAGACCAATCTAGTCGCAAACACAAGAGAAAACAATCAATAGAGCTTGTAATAGGCGAAGCCTGAAATTTAGTACCGTCGCTTCTATTTGCTTAATACGGCTCTACTCAATGAGGCACAGTTCGTCACTGCATAGTCCTTGATGCTGCAACCAAAAACCCAACCTCCAAGCTGCTCGTACTACACAGGAAGAGATGGAGATTCTTGGCCGCAATCTCGATTGATGCGGAGCTTCTCTTTTGCACAAAGAAAACACCAACAAATAAAAGAGTGAGGAATCCCACGACCAGACCCCTATCGATGAGGAGGCTGCCTCCGAATGGCGGCAGCCTCTCGCCTTCTTGATCACCTTTTAATTTATTTTTTATTTCCTTCTTTCTTTTTTCTTCCTTCTTTTTTCTTTTTTTTCTTCTGTCCTTCTTTCCTTCTTCTGTCTTTTTTCCTTCTTCTCTTCTATTCTCTATTTTTTTCTACTCTTTTGATCTTTTTGTTTTATTTTATTTTATATATATTTTTTTAAATATATATATATTTAAGAACTATTACTAAAATAGATTTTTCTTTTTTTTTTCTTTTGACAATGAAGGCTACTCCCATTTGCCATCATTTAATGTAACTACAAAATAACCAATTCATCATGGAATTTTGTCTTAATAAATTCTACCTCTAGGGTGTATATTTGCTATGAGCAATCTATTTTCTTTTTTTTCCTAAAAAATCTACTATTGACTAACCAAATCTATGATTTTAAGCACAATAAGTATATTTTTTATACTAAATACTCAAGTGAGTCAATTTAGTGACTTACAAGTATCAATTCTTAGCTTTTTGAGGTAAATTTGCTTAAATCTACTCTTAATTCTTTCTTACACATATTTATGTCATTTAATTTTTCAATCTACTTGATTTTATCTTATTTATGGACCTACAAAGTAATTAGAAGCCTATTTTATAAAAAGGTAATATTAGCATCTTTTAATTTTATTATATTTAAAAGATAATTTACTGTAATATTTTAAAATAAGATCTTCTATAATATTATATATATATATATTTTTATTTATTAGTCATGTTATATCACAACAGTGTATAATCTTGCATCTCTTAGTTTTTATAATATATGAAAAATATAAAATTCATGCTCTTTTGTGTTCTTGACAAGGACATGAATTTCAAAGAAAGAAAATCCTCGATATTCTCTTGTGTCACTCAAGAAGACTAGAAAGTCACTCAAAAGGTAATGTAATATTAATTATAATGGCTATAGCCAAAAAAAAAAAAAAAAAAAAAAAAAAAAAAAAAAAAAAAACTAGAAAGTCTTGAAACAAGAATAAAGACTAGAACGGCGTTGACAAGAGTGAAGAAGGCTTCACGCTTGCCTCTATATATACTCTTCACTAGAGCTACGTGGCAATGTCCTATAGGACCTCCAAAATATGTTGACTTTGCTAACTACATGTCTTAACTTGCAAGACAAGTTATCTATGTATGTGCCACATGGTTAGCTTGTTCCACAAGCTATCAACATGTGGTTAATTTTTTTGTCAAATTTCTGACCTACAAACATATCTAAAGTCAAAACCATGTTTATGAAGCTTTTAAGAAGCTTTACTAAAAGACTTTATGAAATTAATCTATATTTACCTACTTCTATCTAATCATATAAGTAATTACTGAAGTGAATGAATATGTCCATGACATTATTTTCTCTTCTAAGAATGAGTTCTATGAGGAGCTGTCTTTATATGTTGAGGAAGTCCAATATGCAACAAATTGTACTTGCCACATACTCTGATCTTTGCTTTCTTTGAAGATGGTTGATAGGTCCTCTCAACCATTGATAGTGTCCTATATGAGGGCGAGAAGACTTCCCTGTTATTTGGTTATTGTTGAGGCCTTCGTAACTTCCTTCAATTAAAACATTTGGAATACCATGAGAAGTTGTTCATACCTCTAATAAAATCACCAAATAGTGAGAGTCTCTTCTAAAGTCGTGATACTAAACACATTGTATCTCGCCATCTATTCAAGGAAGGACATGTCCTTCTTGAGGATCTTCATCTAGATTTCGTTGTCTTCAAGGTTGTGACAAATGCAATGTTTCATCTGGTAAGTCCGCAAATGAAAGCTCTTGAGATGAATTTGCTAGTTGTTGTTTCTCTATCTCCTGAGCATCACAAATACAAATAAGCTACAAAAAAAGATAGAAGGTAGAATGTTATCTTCCTTTGATCTTGTTTCTTTTATAGCAAAGATTTGCTATTCTTTATCTTGGTTTTGATGGATTTTGTTAATAAAAAGCTTCAACTTTCTTTGCTGTATTTGCAAGTTTCTTTGATGGCTGCCATATGTGTTCACTAATATCATATCTGCATCAATGAACAAGATATTCCAACCTATTTCAACACCGCCTTCGTTCTAAGACTTCTTCTACCTTAAGTTCTTGATTATTATCTACTTCTATAGGAGGAGGTGGTATTTGTCTTCTTTCCAAAATATTCATTGTCTTATATGGCTTAAGAAGGGAGATGTGAAATATAGGATGGATCTTCATAGACTTCGATAGATATAATTGATAAGCAACGGGATTGATTTGTTCACAAATAGAAAAAGGTCCCAACGTACAATAGTTCAACTTATCACAAGGACAAGTAGACTTCATATTGCAACGAAGTAACCATACCTTGTCACCTATATTGAATTGTAGTTATTCCTTGCGATATGCATCTACGTTAGTCTTTTGCCATTCTTGAGTTTTTTTTTAATTGTATCTTCATTGTTGCATGTAGCTCTGACAAATAATTTGCTAAATCTTTTGCCACAGGATTATCAACTTTTAAAAAGTCAAAAGTATCAAGTCATGAATAATAACCATAATTGGCAAAAAAAAAAGGTGTTTGTTGAGTAGAAGAAAGTACTAAATTATTGTATGCAAACTTTACAAATGACAAAAGAGTTATCCAACCATGGTTGTTTTGGAATTGGTAATGGTTGAAGAAGTTCATAAGATCTATGGCGAGGAGTTTTAAATCTTGAATAAGTATTACATAATTGTACAAAGTCTTTTATTGCCTTTCACATTTGTGGCCACCAAAAATCTCTAGATATAAGCTCTAAAGTCTTGTTGTATCTAAAATGTCCTATTACTAGAAAGTCATGACGTGCTTGAAGAACACATAAACATGCTTCTCTTTTTGGAACATATAGGCATCTTTTGAAATAGAGAATGTTTTTAAACTTGAACTTTGAAATATCATGAAACTTAGAAGAAAGATTTTTGATATCATGAACAAGAGAATCACAAGATATATTTAATTGGATTTACTTAATAAAGGTTGAATCAATAATCAATGTTGATTTTATTTTTTGAAGATGAAAATGCTCGGGCTTCAAGAGAATCATTCTTTGTTGATTAAAAGATGCATCTCCTTCTTTTAGTGTAAGATAAGAACGTCTAGAAAAGACGTTTGATAGACCTTGTTGTTTTTTGGCTCGATAAGTGATCTTAAAATTAAAGCTTGATAAAGACATGCTCCAATGGACTTGACGATGATTCAAAATACATGTTGACATGAAGTACTTGAGGTTATTATAATTTGTTGTTATATTACGTATTGTCTTGTTTAGGAATGCACTGAGCACCTAGCTGTGGAAGATAAGGTTGTGTTTTACAAGTATCCAAGAAATCCTAATAAATTTCATCCATATGACGAGAATATAATCCAAATTTCAATTCAAAAGTGTTAAAAAATAATCTTTTTAGTAGCCTTGATCACACATAAACCTCAATCACCTTATTACTTTTATATTTAAGAAATTTAGATTTTTCTTATAAACCTCAATCCTAATTAGTGAGCTTTAACAAGTTGTAACTTCTAATTTGACTATCTACTTGATGTGAAATTTTACATGCAATTGTCAATATAAATCTTCTATATGCTCAAATTTTTTTAATCCAATCTAACTTACAAATTGTGAAAAAACCTCCAAAAATTGCACTAATGTCACTCAGTCGCCAACTTGAAAAGTGAAGCAAAAATCCCAGCAGTGATTTCTCCTTCTCCAACAATTAACTTCTATTCAAAATTGGTGTGTAGCTTGATCCTTAAGTCCTTCAATACTATGCCAAATTTCACTTTGATCTAACATGTAGATCTCTAGATATCACAAAAATCCTATCCAACCTCAAACTACCAACTTCCAAAATCTTCTCATGCTAAAAACCAAATATCTCTCAACCACACTATTAGATTATTACAAAATTTTGTATACACTTAACACACCTAATAATCCAAACAATATTAAATTTTGAACCATAGATGTTATACAAATTATGCGAATTAGCCAAAATTACTAGCCCTAGTTATATTATATAAAACCCAAATCACCAATACAAACCTTGATTTTGAACAATAATTATCCAATCTTCAAAATCCTTCAAAAAAAAATCCTTATGCTCTTAAAAAGAACTTTAAGTTAGCTCTCAAACCCTAATCTCCTATCTTTGAATGCCTCTCTAATTTGTCCTAGGTAGTTGTTTTAGTGACCAAAGGTCTGATTTCAACCCTGCCTTACAAACAATTAATCCTCGGGTATCAATCTAATCTATCTTAAGGATTTTTTAGCCCAATCCCACCTTCAATTTAATCCTAGTATCAACCATACCAACCATTTACCTCTTCTATCTTGATTTTAATAATTTATGGCTTTTCTAAGGCAATAAAAGAGTTTTTATATCTTAGAAGGTAAAAATACTAAGTAACTTTTATTTACATGCTATTGAGATAAGAAAATAGACTAAGAGACTTTCATAAAAGCCTTATTAAAATATTTTGAATTTTTATTTAATTAATATAATAGAATATTAATTAAAATTTTATTTTTAGTCATATGTTTATCATATAAGTATGTCATAATACGACATCATAAATACAATAACTGGACTTGAAGCGGCTTCTAATTAATGATGCCATTCTTGAAATGAATCCATGATTGCAAAGAGCTCTTTGTCATGGATCTCATAATTAATCTCGACTAGTGAAAATTTCTTGGAATGAAAAGCTACTGGATGGAGTTTATCATCTGTTTCCATTTGTAACAACATAGCACCCAAAGTAATGTCTCACGTGTCTATTTTCATAAAAAAATACCTTAAAAAAGTTGGTGGGATATAAAATTGGTGCAAAAGTAAATTCTTTCTTTAAAGCATCTAATGATGCTTTTGCTTCTTTATTTCACTCAAGTTTGTCTTTGCAAGTCAAACATGTAAGTGGAGCTGCAACTTCAGAAAAGTTCTTGATGA